TCAAGGCATCTGTAAGAGGCTAAGACAAAACCTAGGGCACTTTGGGATTCCAGTGCATGGTAAGCTGCACTAGAATAAATGGCACAACAGATTAATATTTCATGTCTCTCTAACTAAAGCATCTTTTTTAAGAGGGGAGAGACCCAGTAGAAGGGAAGGGCTGATCAGCTAAGCCCCACAGCCAGCAATGGGATGGTTTAGTGCCCTCTGACCAGTGTGTGCCCCCCACAACATTCCTGCTCTGGGTAGGCCACCACACGAAGACCAGGAGTCTCAGAGCCCCATCCAACCTGACCTTGAATGTTTCCAAGGATGGGGCATTCACCACCTCTTTGGGCAACCTATGTAAGTGTCTCACCACCCTTATCTTTTCCTTTTATCTTGTCTGAATCTAGCCTCTCCTATTTTGAAACCATTGCCCCTTGTCCTGTCACAACAGGCTCTGCTAAAAAGTCTGTCCCCCTCCATGCCTGGTTGCAAGGCACAGCAGAGAGATGGCAGGTGCCCCTCCATCCTTCAGACCACTTTCCTTTACCATATCCAAGTCCCTGGACCTCTAGGCTTTGGAAAAAACAGCCAGTGCCAGAGAAACGATGATGAATTCTTTCATTCTTTCAGTGTTATAGTACTGACCAAGATGACTTTCTCTCCGCTGACAGGGGTGAAGCCCCTGGGTGGGAGCAGAGGCAGACTGCAAACTTTGGGCTCCTGGCAGCGAGACAGTGGCAACAGGCCCTTAAAGAGCAGACAGATGTTGTTGTAGCGCTGAATGCAGTCTCCACACTGTCATCTAGTGGATTTAGTGGTGATAGCCAGAGCTCAGTTTAATACTACACTGTAATTTCATTGAACATAACTGCAGCTTAAACTTTTTTTTCTCTGTACATTTTCTGCCTTTTCTCATCCAGTTCTTCTGGGATTTTTCCTTTCTGAATTATTCTTTTACAATAATTTTATTCTCATAATTTTAAACCTTTAATACAACAATGCCTTTTTCTTTGGGTTACTGTAATTCCCAGGCAGGCTATTTCCCCACTGCTAGCCAGTAACTGCAGAATGTATTTCCCTTTCTTTTAGGGACTCTTTCTTAAATTACAGTAGAAATACATTTCTTGTGTGTGCAGAGCAGAATAAATGCCCTTAAGAGATTTATTATGAGTGATGTAAGTGCCCTCTGATACCCCTCCAGGCTTCAAAGACAGCTCTACAGGCTGAACACACTGGTTCTCTGTAGCCACACAGTGCCTCTGCCTCTCCAGGCTCCAGCCCCACAGCTTGCAAGCGCTGAGAAATTGCCAGATAAATTCAAGTACTACAAACACAAGGAAAACACAATTATGTCAGTTATGTTTGCCTAAACCTAACAAGTATGGAACTATGATAAACCTAGCAGTGTGCAGGTATGATAAATATTAGCAAAGTGGAGTATAACAAGCACCCCAAAATCCTGAGTTGTCCCAGTTCGAGAGGGTCTGCACGATGCAGCTGTTGGGCCCATGCTCATGACAGGTGTCCCCATGTGTCAAGGTGGCACGGAGGTGTTTGTCTTTGTAGCTGTGGATTCCCAGACAGTGGGATTTTCCATGCTGATCATTATTTTGCTAAGCCTACCTCTTGGTATTTGATTTTCCCTTTCGTCCTCTAGGTTGTGACCTTCCGTACTTGCTCATTTATGGAGCCAGATTGCTCCTCATTCCTGGAGTCAGCTCTGAGTCTGTCCCAGAGGCAGCCCCCCACTCCATTCACATTCCACAGCTGCCTTCCCGAGGAGTCAGCTCCCCAGGCTCACCCAGAGACGACTGATCCCTTCTCTCTCGCTCTGCAGCTGGTTCAAGCACTGGGATTTTGCAACATCAACCCTATACGGCCTTACCAGATGTTAAATCAGCAATTAGCTAAATATATTACCTCCAGGTCAGCAATTCTCTCACCATTTTCCAGTTATAGTAAGTCTGTGATTTGACCAGTCTCAGTCCTACAGAAGAAATGCTAAATATGTTTGTGCTGCTTTGGCAATTTTGTCACCGGCCCATCTCAGCTCAACGGTCCCTCTTCTGTGACCCTCCACTGCCTGCAGCTTCTCTTACAAAAACTCAAAGAGAAGGGAAAAGGATTTGTCAGAAGTTGTAAACAAAGGATATGAGGCTATTGATGTGCAGCAGAAAGGAGAAATGCAATTTTAAACATTCAGTCTAACAGTTTACAAACCACGCTCCAGACCAGCCTTTCTTTTCTCTTATCTGTGCTTCTGCACTCATACCAGAGGCTCTATCAAAAACCTCTTGGATGAGTTATTTTTAATAAAAATTTTCAGTGTAATAATCATTTTAATGAGCCTCTGGGAAAAAAAAAATAAAAAGGAGAGGTATCTTCCACAGGCCACAGTATTGCTCTACCAGGGAAAGAAACCCATTGCCACATTCATGGCTGACACCTAAATAAAAGCTGGGAGTGTAGGAATCAGTCAACCTTCTCTAGAGAAACCTGGATTGGCTTCTTCAGCAATTAATTTTCAAGAATTTTGATTCAAATGATGAAAAGCAAATGAAGAAGGACATGACATAAAAAGGACAAAGAATTAGGAGCTAACAACAACTGCTGGAAATCAAGTCTGTGTTAGACCTTGCTAACAGGCAGCCACTCTCTTGGAAATGACAGCTAATCCACCCTGTCACCAAGCTTTTAACAGAAACCTGTCTCTGTTGAAAGAGCCACCGGAGTAACAGAAGTCAGGACAGAAGAACAGTTACTTCAGAACAGAATTCTCCTTCTGTATTTTACCATGGACACACAGACTGAGTCTCCCAAGTAAGGCAAGTAGATATACTTACTTTGGTACTTGTGCTTAAGCTAATTTTTGGAGAGAAGCAGCATGAGACCCTGTCCTGCCTTCACCACTGAGAGCTCTCCAAATAGGTTTGAGTTGTTTTACTCCCACTCCAGGCAGAGCATCCTGCTATACGGTGAAACTTGCCTCAGGGAATTTAACTTAATTAATTTCCAATTATTAAAAACATCTGAGTAGTGATTTGGATTTTTCTTTAAAAAAACAAAAAACAAAAAACAAACCAACCAAACAAAAAAAAACCCAAATATTTATGCACAGGTGCTCTTTTTCTCCTCCATTCCAGGCCCAGCTTCACTCCATCACCCCAGGCACCTCTCCTCCCCCTCTTGCAATCACTGCAGGGTGCAATACACTCAGTTGTTTCACTGAGGCAATGAGAGGGGCTATGACAAAACAACAGGGATTTCTTCTGCTGAATCCCAGGAAGACCTCTGACCTGCTCCATATAGAAAACAACATCTGCAGGTAAAGCATCCATGTCTAGTCCTCATTAACTGCATTTGGCCCTTCTCCTGTTCCCAAAACACAGAACAATGGAGTGAGTGAGGCTCTCATCAAAACACTGCAGATCAGCTCTCTGCAGTTTCTTACCTCCCTTGCCACACAGCCTCCCAGGAGTACAGAATAGCTGAAAGCCCTTGCACTAACCCAGAAGAGGGCTTCTGTCACAGGCAGCAGTGGGGCTTCTCATCTTACTGCACTTTCTAACCCCTGAGAGCCTTCCTTACACAGTGTATTGGAAACTTATCATCACAGTACTAAATAAGTACAAGTCCACTAAATCAGTGAAATTTACAGAGCCATTAAACCCTAAGAACTTAGCGAGTATTGAATAGTCACCTCCAAATAATAAACATGTCAATTTTGTCCTCTGCTCTCTTTCCATACTCTTTCTATAAAAAGCATATTTTTATCATAACATTTTAAAATTTAAGGTTTAGGGACTCATGCATCTTGTCTGTATCTGTTTAAGGTCTTGTCAAGGGTGAAATTTGCATAAGATGTACTTGCACATCAGAACACGTTCAACCATAGCTAGCTGCATGAGATGAAGAGCAGAAATGCTGAGATGCAGCATCAGGCGCCCCTACGGAAAGTTTTTCTTGTTGGCTCCTGTGACTGCCCATTTATCTTGTAGTTGCTGGAGAATCCCACAGGTGGAACAGGCAGTGCTAGAGACAGTTGTATCTGCTCTGTATCAGTCTGTCAAGCCAGCATGACCACGTTAAGGTCTGCTGTTTACGTGTGACATTTATGCACATATCCACAGTGCTCATTCTGTGAAGCAGATGGTCTCTAGGCTTTTCTCTGTAGGTACTCCTTGCAGCCCTAACACTGATCCATACAGATGTTTTCCTTCCAGCAGCTGTCTGAATGGATAGTGGCCAACTTATGAGCCACAGCTATTTACCAGAGAGATTCCAGTATCAGCAAAAAGTCTATCCCAAAGATCCCAGCCATACCAAATCAGTGTAGGCACAAATCACCATGTAAACATTGTCAGAACCAAGATGCACTTCTTGGTATAAAAATGGTATAAGGGAGGTATAAGGTAGGAAGGGAGGTATAAAAATGGTATAAGGGAGGAAGAAGACACAGCTGCATCCACTAGGACTCAAATCTGGCATTCTTGCTTATTGGATGCACAAGATCAGTGAGAAGACTTCTCCAAATATTTAGAACATAAACATCATGGGTCAATGAATAATTCCTATTGAATAATTTCCTATTGAAAAGAATTCTCTCAAGCGTTTATGTCAGCTTCATGTATCATTGTGCAGAACAAAACTCAGAATCAATTCCTGACAGGAATTCTGTGTTGTTTGTACTGGGTACAATTAAGGCTGCAATAAATCTTCCTTCATGTGGGCAGTATAATACACATAACTAAACTCTCAAGAAAATGAAAAACCTTTTCAGAGTTGACAACATTATTACAAAGTCCTCCAGTGGCAACATTCCCCACAGACTAATAGCTTGGCATCCAGAGAGAGAAAGAAACTAATAAACTTGCAACTACCTCCTTTTAACAAGGAAGATCCATCACTTATTTTAAAGCTGCATTCACCCTACAGGAATATCATCAATGCCTATTTAACTAACTGCAATAAGCACAACTTCATATTTTTAGGGGGAAAAAAAAGACAAGGTGTAGTCCTCAAAAGTTTATTTCAAGTATAAAAATTGTTCAGTAACGTATCTACAGGTTTTTTGTTCAGCATAAAGGCTTAATAAGATAGAAAGAATCAAATACCAAATCTCTGTAAAAATACGATTTGATTTTAAATTCTGAGTAACAGTGAAAAGGCACTTAAACAAAAGATAACCAATGACAAATACAACTGTTATGTCACAGTGAATGTGTAAGCAAACATTATCTAACACTTTATAAACAAAGAAATTAATTACAGTCTAGCTGAACTCAACAACATAATCCAGACAAGACTGAATTCGAACTTGGGGCACTTCAACAACAGAAGTGCAAAGGAAGAGAGAAAGAAAAGCAAGGGAAGTCTTCAGTAAACTAACAGTCTGCAGCACTGTGCTCAAACTAAGAACTTAGAGTTCAGTCCGTACAAGCTCCACAAAAACAAATGTAACGACACTGGGTAGCAGCATAAATACTTCAAAAATGCCCCTGATCTGTATGCTTGCATTGAGGGGTTTATATTTATTTTTCTATTCCCAGTTTAGGAAAAAAAGTTTCTACAAAAACAGAAAGCCTTGTTAAGAAGCAAAACCATCAGGCTGCTGTAAGTGGGAAACAGAAGTGTAATGCTTGGGAATCCACTGCAGTCCCTTTGCAGCAGAAATATTTTTCCACTGCCGGCAATGGAAAGTATAATCAGAAGTTTTTGAGAATCAGGAAACAAAACAGGCTATGACAGTTTAAATGAGTTTGTTATTTTTTTGGTCAAGACTCAATGAGCTACTCTATCTTAAAAAAAAAAAAAATAGAATCAAAAATGCTAAAAGAAACAATATGTTTAAATCACCATTTACAGCACCAAAGAATATTTGGACAATAAATACAGAATAAGATGGTAATTATTCACAAATATGAGGGATTAGGGAAGGAAATTTTCAATACCCACCAGAAAACTGTGGGCTTTTACAATTATTCAGCAACATGAAGTAAACAGAAAAAAAATCATCTTAGTGTTGGCATTTTTTTCTCAGTGACAGTAAGACCTTTGATACGGGAGTGCTATCAAGACTTTTGCATCTTTTTTTCCAGATACATTTTCCTGTAGGTCTGAAACATCTCTTTTGAGTCTTTGACAGGAATGTGAAGAGTCTCTCCATCTCCTTCCAGGATCTGTATAGCTGTATCAAGGGGAATACTGTCCTCAGCTGCAAGACAGACAAGCATGTTAAAGCAAGAGTCTCAAAGGACTCTACTCCTTATGCATGTGGTACCTAAGACCTTCCAGTGTCAAAAAGGATGCCACAAACTTCCTTCCTAAAGCACCAGGCACTCCAGATTCAAAACAATCTCCAATGCATCTTTAAGCACAAAATGCCTATTTGCGTGTCTTCACGGGAGAGATTTCTGGAGAGTATTAAGAAAGGTATAAAGAAAGCATGCATTTGTGAAAGGAAGAGAAGAAGCAAGAGGAAGAGCTAAAATGATGGCAGACCAAAGCCCAAGGACACAGGCAAACAGCAACAAAAGATGCAAAGGCTGCAAAGTATATTAATTGCAACACCACGACACAAGTACCAGCATGCAAGCCTTCTGTTCTAAAGAAGCAGATAGCAACAAGGCTACAGAATGCATTTTGTTTGCTGTTAGACCACTAGAAGAACAAAACTAGAGCTAGAGAGGTACCTAAAGCAAAGAAACAAGGACAGCTGGGAGTAACCTCACCCAAGGTTTACAAAAGATGGAACAAACAAGATCCTGAGATGAAAGTTGCCACTGTTGTGACAGTTGATTCCTAGAGGGTATAAAAGACCTTTCAAAAAGCAATTTTCCATTCAAGAGAAATGAGGAAGATGTAATAGTGGCCCCACTTTTCCTCTGGGTGTCATACAGATTATCTTGTCCAGACTACTGGGACACACAGGTCCTGGAACTTGTGAGCACAGGTGTTATGTGTGGACAGCAACAACGTACTGTGAAAGCCAGATTTATTTTAAAAATAATTTTCTGTTTTTGCACTAGATTCTGCTACATCACTTTCTATATTTTAAAGCATGAAAGAGTCTTTATATACAATTTAAAACTGTATTTAAATGCTGTTACTAGTGCTACATCCAAGTTAATGGCACAGGAAAATTTCAACATTTCCAACAACATATTCATAAAGCAATAAAAAGCTACACAAATCTTTGAGACTTGTAAGTCTATTCTGTGGTATCCATTTAATCAGGAGAATGAGTAAATAATACTTTTAAACGCTTTATTAAGGTTTACCACTGTAAAGGAACATCTAAAACCAAGCAAAGAGGATTTAACTTGTATTTCAAGTGGGACATTCAGAAGTCACTTCACCTGTAGAGACCTCTTCCAGTTTCTTTTGCTTCACTGGTTCACATTTTAACCAATCTTCTTTTTTACTCTTGACACCTAAAAATAGATTTTCAAAAAATGTTTCTGAGGTTCCATTATCACAAGTTTTGGCCTCTATTCAGCATTAAATTCTAACACATATACTAGCACACACAAAAGGAAATTTCCTTTGGGTATGAAAATGACTCCAAGGGCTTAAGAAAAATAAAATACAACATTTGACATAAATATGCTTCAGAATGCACCATGTGTAATGTTGAAAAATAGGGTAGGGAAGAAGAGAAGGAAAAATGGATGCTGAAAGCAAAGATGGCAAAGATTATAGGGACTATGGGCAGGATATGTCTGCCCTAAGCACACTCTACTCCTCAATGCCACAGAAGATCTCTCCCTCCTCTGCCCACCCTGACTATGCACAACCAGGTGAACAGTGAATACAGATCAGATCACCTTTGGTAACTACACCAAGGGAATCTGCTTTCTACAACCAAGCCAAGCTAAATTCTACAAGTACTGTAGAAAGCCTTCTCCCAAAGTTACTTGAAACTTCCATGCTCTGAAGTATTTCAATTTCATTCTCTAAGACTTACAGAAAATGGAAGGAAAACTCCCATGTTCTTTTTCAGCTGAAGATATAGCTGTGGTCTGTCAGAGAGCAAGTTAAGAGATCTCAGCCTTCAGCCTCTACAGTCCCATGTTTTCACTGTATGTAGTTTTAAGCAACATGAATTTAAAAATGAATACATAGTTTTTACTTACAAATGAATATTTAAGAGACCATCATACCTTCTACAATGACTTTATCTCTTTCTGGAGAATTCTTTGCAGCTAAGCTTTCTTCACCAGGGGCTGGATTTCTGAACAGTATCTCTGGACACAGCTTGAACTCAAGGACTTCCTGTTTGCATGGTTTCTCAACTGTCGAGACAGACACATCTTTTTTTGAGTTGCTGCTTTGTGACACTTTGGTGGTTCTATGCCAGACGGATCTGACAGGTGATGTCTCTAATTTTGTCAGAGAGATGCGCTCCTGTGCTGTACGTTTAAATGCCACCCTGTTCAGGTAGTGTTTCTTGGGTTCCTTTTGAAGATGCAGCTTTAGTCTGTTATTTCTTCTGTTTAGGTATAGAAGATTTTTATCAGGAAACATTTTCTCAGAGCACTTGTCTTTGTTTTGACCATCGAGATGTCTTTCTTTGCTAGAGAAGAAGTTTTTAGAAATGCTAGAAGATCGAGCCCTTTTTCTCTGCAGTTTAAGCACAGAGCAATCTGCTAAGGAACTCCTTGGTTTCCAACCATTTTCTCCATTCAGTTTTTTAGCTTTGTCAGCATTTAGCAAGCAATTGTGTGCAAGCTGCTTAGAACTCTTTCCTTCGGATTGTTTCAGTCTTTCCTCTTCCAGCTTTGCTTTCTTAAATTCTTTCTTCCCAGCCATATTTTCCTTCATCTTCCGTTTGAATGGCTGCTCCTGCAAAGGATGAACTTTCACAGATTTATGCTGAGAATATTTTATGTGTCTTGATTTGAAGTCTACAGTGCCACTATCTGAGAATTTTACAGCATCAGCTTGGTAACTACTCAATTTTGTATGTTTTATTTTTGCTGGTAATTTCACTTGCTCTTTGACAGTAATTCCTACATCTTGCCTAAGCACCTCCTTTTGTTCCTTACAGTTTTGTTCTTCAGCCGAGTTCTCTTCACAAGTTTTAATTTTTTGTCCTTGATTGACTTCAGAGTGCTTAATTTCAACTGTTTCTGACTTCACAGATTGGTGAATGTCTGTTTTGGATTTCATGGTCAAACCTGGTTTGGTTGTATCTTTTGAAAGGGACTCAGTTTTGAAAACTCTCTCCTTCTTTATGGACAACTTTGCCATGTTGTCTGCATATGTATGATCAGTTTTTGCTGGTAACTCTTGGGAGGCTGTCTGGTGCTCTTTTTTGAAAAAATTAATTTCTTTACTTGACACTTGGGTTCCTTTGTCAATTTGCAGGCGTTCCTTCGAACTGCTGCTTATGTATTTATCAGCATCCTGGTTTTCAAAAGAATTAACTCGTCCAGTTTTTTCCTGCTGTGTTGTAGGCAGTTTGTATTCATTATCCACCTTCAGCTTAGGTTTTTTGTTCATTTCAGAAGTGTATTTGCAAATATCTTTATTTTTGCTAATACTGTCTGGGATTTTTTCAGATATTGCCAGGTCTCCCACTGCACAGTCTTCCTTTTTCAAGGTATCAGATTGATGGTTGTTTTCTTCTGTCTCTGCAGAGTTGGTATTTTCAGCTTTTGAAAGCTGACAATCATTTTTCTCTGAACCAGATGTTTCTAATTGAGAGGGACAATGTGGTGTTTTACAAGCTACAGATACACCACCCATTGAAGAGCAATCTTCACTTTTTTCACTGGGGTTAGATATTTCTTGTGGGGCTTTTTCCTTCTCACATAGATCCTGACTAGGCTGGACACTGCCTTCAAGGCTGTCCTTGTCAGCTGAAGCCTTTTCTAACTGTTGACTCACTTCTCTCCTGCTGTCACTAGAGGGACACTGGTTGTGCCCAGGAGACAGTTCTTGAACCTGATCAGATCTTAATGCTGCAATTTTAGTCTGATTTACTGGGTCCTTCAAATGAGAATTCTTGTTACAAATTTTAACCTCTTTTTGAGACTGGTTGTGCCCAGGAGACAGTTCTTGAACCTGATCAGATCTTAATGCTGCAGTTTTAGTCTGATTTACTGGGTCCTTCAAATGAGAATTCTTGTCACAAATTTTAACCTCTTTTTGAGACTGGTTGTGCCCAGGAGACAGTTCTTGAACCTGATCAGATCTTAATGCTGCAATTTTAGTCTGATTTACTGGGTCCTTCAAATGAGAATTCTTGTCACAAATTTTAACCTCTTTTTGAGACTGGTTGTGCCCAGGAGACAGTTCTTGAACCTGATCAGATCTTAATGCTGCAATTGTAGTCTGATTTACTGGGTCCTTCAAATGAGAATTCTTGTCACAAATTTTAACCTCTTTTTGAGACTGGTTGTGCCCAGGAGACAGTTCTTGAACCTGATCCGATCTTAACGCTGCAAGTTTAGTCTGATTTACTGGGTCCTTCAAATGAGAATTCTTGTTACAAATTTTAACCTCTTTTTGAGACTGATTCTCTGTCCCTTCAGCCACTGAATGATTTTGTGCTGCTTCTTTTGTTAGCATATCAGCACCTTCAATGCCATATGGAAACTCTTTCACTAGAGCGAGCAGCTGATCTTTTAGATATTTACTAGGTTTTGCTCCAAAAAAGTTCACCTCCTTTTCTGTGCTATTTTTACTGGGCATGGAATTTTGTTTACTGCGGTCTCCTGGAACAGCAGGTGCATTTGTTTTAGCAGTTATGCTGGCAGAGGAATCCACTGAATTTTGAGCTAACTTCTGATTTATATTAGCAAGTCTTTCTAAGGAATTTTCAGGATGCTTGAAAGATGCCTTGAATGATGTGTTTTGCTCAGAGGTAGAAACTGCTTTAAGAGGCTTGCCACTGCTTTCCTTCTCCAAATGACTTGATGTTTCTTCCAACATCTTTAGCAGCAAGCTCTCTCTTTGGGCAGTGTTATTGCTCAGCTCAGTTTTATTCAAGTCCAGATGTTGCTCCTTTTGACTTGCACCAGACTCATTTCCTTCTGATGCCTGTGCCTGTGTCTCATAAATTGACTTGAACATGCCTGCTATTTGTGGGTTATAAAATTTATCACCTTCAACAAGAGAGCATACACTAGAAATACAAAACATGTCATTTTCCAGCACAGCTGTGGATGTATCTCCTGCCTCTAACACAGCTTGCATGTCTTCATGGTGTCTTGTACCTTCTTGAGAGATTTGACTACAAAAATTTATGCCTGATTCAGGAAGAGAAGCCTTGTTTTGTGATCCAAGCTGCAGATTTTTTCTTGCATCTTGTGCAGATTGACTAACTTTCCTTTGGTTTTCATCACCTACTTTGATTTGTTGCAAATCTGAGTCCACTTTTTCCTCCAGAACACAATCACTGGGTGATGACCAAGTATTTTCTATTGTTCCTTTAACAGTATTTGCCACACTTAAACCATTTTCCTCCTCTTCTTGCAAGCTACATGTGCTCCCTGAATTGCTCACTGCATAGGTTTTACCTTCAGGTGTTGAGATATTGCCTGCCTGCTCACTTAGTGTTTTTTGTTCACAAAGTACTAAAGGAGAGACAACTGCAACTTGAGGTTCAAAATTTTTTATCAAATTAGAGGTCAGTGCATCAAGTTTTTGTCCCACAGAGGTAGTTACAGGCAAAACAGCCTCATCCATGCTAGCCAGAGCATCTTTTTTTTCTCCCTTCTTTGTGTTTTGATTGGAGGGCGAAACCTGATTTGCTGTGGGGCTTTCATTTGAGTGTTTATTTTCCACACTTACAGATTCTGGTGGATATTTTCCCCACAAGCGCAGGCATGCAACCAGCTCTTCCATAGAGTAACTAGAGTTGCTCTGGCTACAGGATGCATTTTCAGCAAACGGCGTTTTTTTCTGAGCTACCTCAGTCTGCAATTGAGCATCACCAGATGCAGTTGTTTCTGATGCAGGAGACTTTGTGTGAGCCACAGATGCCTGCTCACCTTTCAAACTTTCTACGTTCTTCTCACTAGTGTCTTTTAGCAAGCTTCCACCTGAGACAGATGTATTGAGCAGCGGTTTTTCACTGCACAGGAGATCAGTCAGTATTTTATCAGCAGTAGCACCAGCTGTCTTCTCTTTCAGCACATTTGTGCTGCTCAATACGAACTGAAGAAAAGATGAGTTCTCGGGGCCAATTTGCAGAGTCTTTGATGCAGTCTTGACAGAGCTTCCTGCTTGAGTAAAACACGAAGCATTGCTTGAGGAAGTCACAGTTCCTTGGGAAGAGGCCAAGGCGTGCACATCCCTTTGCTCCACAGTGCTCTCAGGATTATTAAATTGAGCTGGGACTTTGCTCTGAGAGGGAACAGGAGTGAAGCTTGATGAAAGACTTCCCTGCTTCACCTGAGGATTACTCTGAGTCACCTCCAATCTTCTGTTATCAGCACTGGCAAGGTTTTTGTCATTTCTTTCTTCATGTGAAACCAGGAGTGTGGGCCTCTCTGTCCTCACTGCTTCAGGTGGGGAAGGTTGTACATTTTGTTTGGACACACATGGAAGACAATTAGAAGGAGAACACGGATAACTAGGAGGAGGAGGAAGAGGAAGAGCATTTTTTTCATTATAGATTTTTTTTTTATAATTATGAACCGTTTCAAGCAGGACAACTCTTTTTTTAAGACATTTCAGCTTTTCAGCCTCCCAAGCTAGTCTCTCCTTTGTAATTCCTACTCCATGTGTTGGTGCCGCTGAAGAAATCTGAGCATTAACAGGCCCATTCATCAAACTACTAGTCTGGCTCTCTGGAACTGAAGCAGGATCACTCAGTGGCTTTGAAGAAAGAGCTTCTATTTCTTTTACAACATCAAGCAGCTCTTTGGGAATGCCAGGGGATGACACAGAACTTTCACTGAAAGACCGATTTGCTGTCACACTTCCACTTGGATTACAGACATTCCTGACAGATTGACTGACTTCTACAGATTGCTGCTTCTGACAGTGTTGTTGAATACTGTTAAACCCAGGAGCATTTTTTGGATCCAGTGAGCACCTCTGCTGGTTAATGCTGTATCCATTAGGTACATTTTGCATTTCCTGTGGTACACCCATTGAAGATTGTGGAGCAGGTCTTGAAACACAGCTGGCAGGCAACAAAGATGGTGCAGAACATCCTCTAGGAACTTCTGCTCCTAAAGCAGGTGCTGTCTGACCCTGCTGAAACTGTGGCATCTGTACGTTTGTCCCAGTATTTTGATTCACTGAATACAAAACTTTACACTGATTATTGGAATTAAATATTTGGGGTTGCACATGTTGCCCAGAAGTACCAAGAGGAAAAGAGTTATTCTGGGGATGAATGCCACCTTGATGCAGTGTTCCAAGTCTCAGAGAATTATGCTGCAGCATTTCTGTCTGCACGGTGTAAGCATTGGTATTGGTGTACTGAGGCTCCCCAAGCACGTTCCTTACATTATTTCCTGTGTTCATTTGAGAGGACAGAGGGGGTACATTTCTGCAGGGATAACTGTAGGGATTAGAGACTGGCCAAGAAGCTGGAGTCATCTCTGGCCGCAAAGGTGAATTCTGAATGGGAGGTTTTAGAGGTGTTATGTACATCTGTTGATGTCTTTTAACTGAGTATTTTGACATAAAAAAATTATTGCCGGTTACAGATGCTCCTGGTGAGATTTGATCTGAAGTTTTGAATCCTTCAGCGTTTACAGCAGGGAAGGCAACATTGATAGTTGGCATATACACGATTTGGTTATTTTCAGCATGAGTGCATGCATTTTTAGAGGGGTTGGCATTTGCCTGAGGAAAGGCATGTCCATTAGGAGGTAACTGAGTGAAACATACTCCTTCACTTTGCAGGTTTGTATTTGCATCAATATTCTGGACTGGCCTTACATTCCAGTCCATCTTTTCTTGTTTTCTGTTTCTTCAGGCAAAACCAAAATGCTAAAAAAATATTTACAAAAATTACAACCTTTTGATCAAGACCTATTTTACTTACTAAGAAGTGATTTAGAATGCATCATGAACAGAACTGTTGAACATAAAATTGCTTGGTAGGAGAGAAACCCCACTAACACAACCCATGGACATCAATACTGTCAATGTCAAGTTGCATGAATTGTTTTCCAGAAGTATAAAAAGAAAAGCAACTAACAACTCTATTGACTATCTAATGACTAACAAAACCTTCACATTATTCTGCTATTTCTATTATCTATCAGCCTTTCAATTTAACAATAGATTGTTGTTATTTACCATTTTCATCCAAAAACAATGGAAAAAAAATCCCAAGGCATGTGTATAACATGACACAATAAACAATAATTAAGGGCTGAACATAAGAAACACCAATAAGAATAAAATATAGGCCAGGGTTTTCAGACAATTAGACTCAATTTCAAATTCACCTTTAAATACAACAACATAAATGGAAAAATTAATTTCTGTTTAGTAAAAATCTCTCACAATAGTGTGGCCCACTAGTTTAATTTTGAGAAGTATGACTGTGCCTCTAGTGAGCTACAAGCAAAGAGCCCCTAATTCTGTTGGTAGCATTAACTTACTCAGCTGGGAGAAGGCATGAAGCATGGAGATGACAGCAACACTTCTACTACTGCAGTACTTACAGCTTCGGGAGCTGACAAAGTCACATATCTCTAAGTCTTCACATGTTAGATTCCAGAATGCACATGGATTACCAGCTGTAGGACGTGGGGCTGTAATTATCCAAGGGGTAAAGGCTTGTGCTCCCCAGCAGGCCCTGTAGGACAGGCACAGCTGCAGGAGGGATGGCTGGAAGCTGGGGCAGGGGGGAGAGGAATCAGGAGCCAGCAGAGACTCAGGGAATGGCAGTTGGGAGTGAGCCTGTGATTGGCTGGGGGGCACATGGACAGCATAGGAACAGGAAGCTGATTGGCTGAAGGAATGCAGGGACAGCATACGAGCAGGAAGCTGATTGGATGGTAGAACACGTGGAAAGCACATGGCAGCTGAGCCAGCCAATGGGTGCCTTCTTTCTGTTAAATTCTGTTAGGTGTCGGTTGGGTTTCAGGTATGACAGGTAGACACTGAAGGTATAAAAAGGGTGCGATTTCCGCAATGAACTGATCTCCTTCAGCTGCATAAGGGAGTCTGTGCCAATTTGTTGCCCATTGCTACAAATGGCTGGCCCAAACTGGGACCTATAAGGTGGTGCAGGGTGTGCAGTCTGCTCCAGTTGCAACTCCCACTAGGTAAAGGAACCAGCCAGGAAGAGTCCGGAAAAGGATCCAGGGAAGGATCCGGGAGGAGTTCAGGAAGGAACTCAGGAATATAAAGTGCACACACCTCACCTGAACAGTGAATAGACCAGTGGGAGCAAATATGGGAGGTGGAATATCCCTGGAACAAAGCAGAAGCGTGGGCCAGGTACAGTGGCTCCTACATCAGCAATCTGTTAATATGGCTGATGTGAAACTAAGCACCCTGCTGGACTGGGTTGAAGATTTTCCCTTTAATGGACCCCTTCAATCAGAAACCTGGCAAGCGGTAGGACAGAGACTTTTCACTACATGGGGGACAATCATGGCAGCCATTAAAGGAAGTCACACAAATGTCAGCCATTACGCAGCTTTGGAAGCTGATTCCCCTGAATCCTCAGCACCACCAGAACCTGTACACGACCCTGAGATTGACCCAAAGCCCGCAGAATTGCCTTATCCCGAGATTAACCCAAGCCCTGCAGAACTGCCTTACCCTGATAAAAATCCCTGCATGGCTGGCCCCCTCAGTGCGGAATTCCCACATCGCGAGGGTGCAGCTGGCTCACTTCCTGCCCAAAATGGTGACACAGTAGTCTAACAATGGCAAAAATGCCGAAGGAGGGTGAATTTGCAGTCACTGCAACCTGCCCAGTAATATATGTGCCAAACCAGCACCCAGCATACCAAGAGCTAGACTATAAAGCAATTAAAGAACTGGGGATGCTAGTAAAGGAAAGTGGCTTATCCTCCCGTCACACCCTAAGCCACCTAGAATCCATCAGTACTGCATATGTCCTCACTCCCCACGACTGGAAAAACGTAATGAAAATTATCCCAACAGCAATGCAGTTTGCAGTCTGGCTAACCCATTACTGAGAGCTGTGTACAGCCCAAGTGCTGCAGGACACCAATCGCCATTGCGCAGCTAAGCAGAGAGAATGCTGCCGCAGTCCCTGCAGCACAGGCAGGCTACCCGTGTGATGTATGTGATACCATCACTCGCCCAGCCCTGCAGGCCCTGCGGCAACTCCAGAGATGGGTATTGATCCTAATCTTTTGCTAAGGTTTTACAGGGTCCAGCAGAGTCATTCATGCAGCTCCTGGACAGACTGCATACCATGCTCTCCCAACAAGTCAACAATGATGAGGCCAGAACTATTCTGTTGCAGCAGCTTGCTTTCATAAATACAAATGAGAATTGTAGAAAAGCACTGCTTGCTGTTCATAACCCACATACTTGTGACATAGCTGATATGGTTAGAGCATGCCAAAATGTGGGAACTGCTGCTTATAACACTAACTCTCTGGCAGCAGCTTTAGCTGCGCACTTCTGGGTTCCAGACAGGCATGCAGGGGTCAGAGGGGGCCAGCCCCAGGACAGGGATCAGGGTGATCACAGGTCAGGACAGTCCTGGTAGGTACATTGGTGATTCTCAGCTCACTGCAGGTGGTCCTCAGCTCCAAGAGCCCCCCAAGCAAGCCTCTGCTGCAGCCCTACCCCCATGGCAGCACAGCCCTCAGCACAGCCACAGGCACATCAGGGACTGCCAGCCCATCGAGTACAGCAACATCAGACACAGAGTGTGGCACGGTGACAACAGCATAGCCGGCCCGGTGGCTGCAACCAGAACATCTGTATGGTACATCCAGCCAGAAGAGGCAGCCAGAGCTGGGGCCGCTGGCAGCACTTGTGAGGCGCAGGGCCGCAGCAGCGGGTGGCGGTTCCCCCAGGGCAGGCCCTGCATAGCACAGCTGTCACTGTGGCTGGGCCAAGCCCTGGGGACGTCACAGCAGCCGAGTGACAGCTGGAGTGAGGCTGTGGTTGGCTAGGGGAACGCGTGGCAGTGTATGAGCAGGAAGCTGATTGGATGATAGGATGCGTGGGCAGCGTATGAGCAGGAAGCTGATTGGATGAGAGGACGCGCTGCAGCTGAGCCAGCCAATGGGTGCCTTCTTTCTGTTAAGTTCTGTTAGGTTTCGGTTTGGTTTCAGTTATGTCAGGTAGCGATTAAGGGTATAAAAAGGGTGCGATTTCTACAATAAACTGATCTCTTTCGGATGCATAAGGCAGTCCATGTTGCTTGTCCCCCATTGCTACAGCCAACAAACCCAAATAGGTGAGCATGTTATTCTGTACAGTTTTTAGAAACAGTGTTTTCATAGCCAAACACTATTTCAGCCTTCAAAAATGCACGAAAAGCACAAAAGCCCCCATGACAAACTACAAGAATGAACGTTTGTCTGCATCTCAACAAGCTCTTCTCAGTATCAAATCCAGGTAGCACAGACCAAACACCTTGCCTTGCGCAGGGTGTTAGACAGTCTCTAAACAGAATGTTTCATGCCATTTCTCCCAAATCAACAAGGCTCTTGACTTCCCTTCGCGGGCTCTTTTAGATTTTAAGACTCTTCTGATTTCAAATTTGAGAATGGAAAGTATCACTCATATCTAGCCTATAAAGGACCCAGTGTTATAATTTTGTAGGTGTTGTTTTCAAGATTCAAAGACAGCTCTATCTTTCTTCACTCTTTTACTTTCTCTGCTCTCATAAGATACCACTAACAAAAGAAGACAGGAAAATGAAGTGGCATATGAAATCCATAAAAAACATCAACATCAGTGTCCAGGCAATACTTACAGTAATGCAGGAATCTCAGTGAAGAAAACAGGTTTTTGCATCCAAGGTAAAGCTTTCAGGCTGCTAATGTTTCACTGGGTATTTCCTGAAAAATGATTGGAGATAAAATAAAATCACATCCTTGAATTGACAAATACTGAGGAATCTTAAGATATTTACATTTTCTGGGAACGTAACTGTGAGAGAGGCAAACAAGACTAAGCTACCAACCATTAGTAACTGTAAAATCCTTGCTAGAGGAGGAACTTTGACTACATGCAGCACACAACTTCACTAAGACTAAAATCGAATCATTGCCACTGTCAAGACCAAAAAAAAATTAGGAATCCCTTGCTGAAGCCAGGCTGGAGACAAGGGTTCATTGCAATGTTAAGTCCTATAACGTGTCCCAAAAAGACCAGGGGTGGAGGTTGTAATGGATTTACCTTGAAATTCTTGTAAGCCATGATCTGAGTTGTGTGTTACAGGAGTTACTATTAGAGGAACCACACAGGACCATCCGCAAGAATCCTCCGCTTTTTTGAGATAAACTACACTAATATAGGCTCAAAGATAAACGTCTTGAGATGGCCAAGCCTCGACCTCACTATTTTTTGGGGTGGTCCCACAAATTTGGGATTAAACACAAGTAGACTGGTTATCAATCATTCTTTAAATGTAGCCTGTGTGCCAGCTAAAGTCCAGTGAGTTTGTCTTCCATCTGAGGCCCAGCAGCACCCACTAGTTAAAGAGTCCTGGCCCACTTAGAGCCCACTAACATGGTGCCCAGCACCACACAGTCCCAACTTGTCACTATGACCTCGAATTAGAGATAGGAATAAGACAGAAAAGACATTTGTTTCTTTAAGCAGAATAACTGAATCTTCACTGCACACAGCTCATTTTATATGGTATCAGAAGTGTGAAATAAAAAGTTGTGTTTTGTGTCAGGTAAATAAAGGTAACCTGTGTAATTGTAATTGTGAAATTGGAACACAGCCATGGGACAGTTATAAAGTTGAGTTCTAATAAACAAGCAAGGAAAGCATGCAAGAAGGCTTTTGAACCAATCTTTTATTTGCAAATAACAATTATAAGTCTTAAGCTGTTTTGCAATAAGAACTTTTAAATTATAACTTTAGAATGTTGCTTAGTATTAAGGATTTTAAACTGTAGCTTTAGAATATATAATAAGGGATTTAAACAGAAAGGGAAATAAGCCTATTCCAAGCTCCTGGAAAAGGAAGATGGACATCAAGATTGCTGATTAATGATTTCAAAAGGGAAAGCTGGACATCACTACCATAGATTAATGATCCTAGAAAATAGAAGCTGGACCCCACCATCTGGACACACATCCTGGGATGTACATCCTAGAATACTGAAATCTGGAATAGATCACAATAGAGTATAGAAATTGGAAAGGAATCAGACATCACCATCATAGATTTACTATCCTAATGTATAGAATTGTGACATCAAAAGGTAGAAATAGAAACTTCTGAAAGCTTGCGTAAAAATTGGGAAATAGAAACTACTGGGAAAAGCTTATGAATATGCATGAATATGATCAATAAATACCAGCAAGCTCAACAATCGGTGTGCAATTGGGTGGGAAAACCCCCACCACTGTACCCAGCGCTGTCTTGGCTTATATGTCACCATATTAATTAATAAATTAATAAATTGAATTTCTGCTTGATATATTGGCTGAGTCAAGCTTGTCATTTCTAACAGAAGGCACCATGTTGGAATCTAATGGGTCAGCAAATCATTGATACTCAGTTCGTTGCTTGGTAATGGCTAGCATACATGTCCATCAAATTTTTTTCTTTCTAGGTATGTTTACATATTTTCTTCACGGACTCTCACAGGATAGACTCCTTATTTTTGCAGACGCAAACTGTTCTCTCACAAAAATAGATTCTTATGCAAACTGATTCTCATTCTTATGATTCTTTTCTCATGAGAACTCAACAAGCCAGCTTAGCCAGAATAGCAAGGCCTAGCCCATGTTTTACGAGGCCTTTCTTTTATAAGGTTTTACCTATATGTACCATCAACTATTTCCTGCTATGCTTGTTCTGTCATCCTGCTTCCTCTGTCAGCATGCAGCCACAGTTACCACCAAACCCCTTGTGTCAGTGTAGTCAAAAACCCCCTTAAGTCTGTGCTAAAGGGTCCTGACCCAAGGAATCTTGAAAGCCTCTTTAGCCCCAGGTATTCCCCAGGTACACAGAGTCCCAACACTTGTTTCACCAACTTTTGCCAACAAGCCCCTATGCTGTACCTTTTCCCACCAGGGCTTGAGCAAGGGCCCTAGTGCCCCTTCCATCACTTCATCAGCTGGAAACCTCCCAGCCCTTGGTTACCCCAGCATTATCAGACATACAGTTAGCAACCCAAACAGAACCTGATGATCCTTCTCAGGTGCCATGGAGGGCACACCTTACAGAGACTTCCCATTTGGAGGTAGATGCCCCATCAATGGCATCATCATCTGTGTGTCCTCATGGCAGTCAAAATCTGCCTTCAGTTGATCATAAGGGAGTGAACCAATTCTCTCACCCTCTGCAGTAGTCCAAAGGTTACAGAAGCCCCTTCAGCCCTTCCCAAGGTCAGTCAAGTGCAAATTCCTTAAGAGCTAGCCAGCCTGAGGATCTGTATTTGAGAGTTCTAACCTCTGCTGTGGAGTAACTCCTATACAATTCTATTCAGGTCTGCACAGCAGCAGTTTATCACTGCATGTAGCTGCAGAGCTATGCACCACAAAAAGCAGCCAAGTAACAGCCTCTGCTGAGTTGAACCTTGCCCAGCTGGGGCAGTGACAGAGTTTATATTTATATACCTCTGTGTTACATGCCTTGTTTTTCACAGGACCACAGGTACACATCAGATAAGCAAGATGAAGTAAGCTATCAGCAAGAATGGTAACATACAGATTGCTTCACATAAGTTACAGATGGTACATCCTTTTACAAGTATTCCACTCCAATAATTTGGCCACTCTCACTCAACTGAGGCCATGCTGCAGATATTTCTAACTAGAAAGGCCTACAAATGCCTATGAGGCATTAACTTTTTTACTTCCACAGACAGAACCACTCACAGACCAGACCTTCCATGATGCTCCAGGGAAGGTACAATCTCCTGGTACTTCTGAATCAAACTCCCCCTACTTTGAGGACTCTGAGAAGCACGTTCCTACCTCCAGTGACCCATCTTAAGTTAACACTCTGTGATCCTGCAAGCCCCAAAATTCATCATATCTCTTTTCAGAGCACTGAAAAAATAGTGAGTATTCACTTGCACCCCTTCCCCTTTTAACAGCCCCAGCCATTCAGCTCAGAAGTCCAGTGGGTCCTGGCATCTGACCAGGGCTACTGGAGCAGGACACTCTGCCTCCGTGGGGGTAAAGCAGCTTGAACAATACCCTGATTGTAAAAGTAGTCAGTGATGGATGGAGAAGGGGGATCATGCTGCACTTGGTGTAGAACAATGCTGAGACCAGCCTGCTTCAATAATCCCAAAGCTGAACATACTGAGGATGTGAGGAACAATGTTTCCAGGCAGAAACTGGAACGGGTGAGAATGTAATAAAGTTCACAATAAAGCAACCAAGTGACAGTATTGATAATTTACCTGACGCTGCTGAGCTAAAGGCTGCTGGGCTGAAACAGAAGCCCAGAAACATCTGACTGAAAGTGAATTACTATAAAAACCCAGTCTCAATTTTTAACAGCAGAGATTTGTTATGAATACAAAACTAAAGGCCTGACACTGGGTGCTTAAATAGTCTATTTGAATTCAAAATAACCAGCCAGGTTCACAAGTACTATGGTTTACTAAATGCAACAGACATTGCTCTTTTGGAGTGCCAGCAGTACCTGCATAAACTGCAGAGCAGCTAAATATAGCCCTGACAATACAATGGCAATCACAAGCTCAATTTCTCATGTCAAAATACTCAGCACAAGGAGACAAGTCTTACCAAAAGGTGCCCCTTCTGCAGAGGGCAAGGAAAATGTGTCCCTACAATTTTCATGTCAAATTCTCATCCCTCACCTAAACACAAAATCAGGGTCCTTTTATACCTTATTAGCCATTATTGTGCAAAGAGCTGTGGGTGGCCAAATTTTCTGTTCTTAGTGGTTGTGCCATACACAGTATTTCTTGGTAAGAGGTATACCTGGTAGCAGCTGTACAAAACATTTCCTGGTATTGAGACTGCACTGCTCCTTTCCCACTTTATATTCCTACCCAATGCCATGGCAACAAAAACCTCCACCAGGTTTCCATGTCTGCTCTGATCACTGATGCTCTGATGTGTGGGCCCCATCTCATATAGAGCTTTGCTATTTTCTTCACTATTTTATTGTGCTTGACTGTTTTATATGTGCTTCCAACACTCTTAACATACCCCCTTCTAGAAGTGTATGTGAAGATCCCTCCTTTGAGTGGGGACACCTCCAAGGTTATTTCCCAAGGCTGAGTTAAAGAGATATGCCCACAGACATTGGTATGAGTGAGCAATATCAATCTCTACTTGATTATTTTGCCAGCTTTATTGTCACTGTAATTACAGTTAACTATCTATATTGTGTAATAATTAATTCTAATTAAAGTCCTTTAGTCTAACTAGTATTATGATCAATATTATCATCAGTATTAACACCACATAAATAAATAATTTTTTCATATTAGTTTGCCTTCCTTTATCCTGTGGGATGAAGTTGTATAAACGCTCAACTACACCTGTGAATTTCTTTAGACATAAACCTTTGAGTAAGTCTGGAGCTAGGACTGGATCCACCCACACCTCTCTGAGGAGTTTAGAAAGCAAGGGCATCCTTTCTGTACCCTGTGACTCAGCAGGAGGGTACCTGTGATAAACCTTGTGTGAAGCTTCCATTCTGTCTGTGGCAGCTACCTAGGCATAAATTTTCCCCCCCCTCCTCTACCTCATACTGCAGTCACAAAAGCTGCCAAAACAATCAGTGCCATCTACCTTTCCTCTTATCTACACACAGTCAGTTTGGACATTATAGACATTCCTCCAGCGTCCCACCCACTAGGCCTACCAAGCTCACTTTGCTTGTACTTGGAATGGCATTAATTATACCTTTACTCATTTACCTCCAGGCTATGGCTATAGTCCTGCCATTGATGCTAAGGCAGCTCAAGCAGTATTAGCTGAAATTTCTCACACACCTGATGTCTCTCATTACCATTATCTTGCTGACTTTCCTAGCTCATATAGATGGGACTCTTACAGAAGCTATGATTCCAAATTTCAACCCTCAAAGAACACCAGGAATTTGTTATCTTCCTGGTCCTGCCCAGAATGTGAAGTGTCAGGGTAGTTTTTACAGGAATCTTTTTGCATGCCAGTACCAAAGGTATTTCTGAAAGTGTCTTGCAGTCTTTTTTCTTTAACCAATCTACTCCCTCCTCCAAATGCAAATATTAAGTCTTCTAGGTTCTAAACTTTCATCATGAAAGGCCCAGGCTTTAGTCAGCTGGGCTTAATCTTTCTATTCCTTGCTGTGCACACATTGCACCTGGAACTGGAGTATGAGGCACAAACACTTCCAACCCTTCTCCTAAAAATATTCAATTATATCAGTATCTGTTTGTGCAATGGTATCTAATAAGCATTAATTTTCATTATTAAGCTAAGCAACTCATCAAATAACTGTACTCTCACCACTTATGTGCAATATAACACATACTGATGACAGAAGCAAGAGGTAACTGTACTACCACTCTTAAGAGTCAATAAAGTGGATTGACTGTAGCCATAGGAATGAGCTCAACTCTTTGACCAAATTATTGACAGTTTGGCTCAGGCTCAAAAGGAAATAAAGGCCTAGGCCATGACCAGGTCAAGGACTTTTCTAGTTCCAGCCTATTCTTTGAAAACCCACATAGGAACAGGGAGACACAAAGAGCTTTGATGCATAAGAGTTGGGAATACCAGCCAAGTGAGTAAGACATCAATAGAAGGTAGTTCTTCCAGAACTAATTACTAAGGAACAAATGAAGTTGTGGGTGCAAGGACTTTCATGCCTACCTTTTCCATGGCATTTGACTGTGAGCCAACCACTTTATTCACAAATATGAAAGCCCAGGTGAGCTTTTTTTTGATCTCTCCCAGCTGCACGGTTGTAACCTCTCCTTGAGCTGGGTCACCTCTAAGTTTCTCCTCAAGGCTGAAAGACTCTTTACCAGCTGCAGATCTCAGGTGATTGATATTGTGCATAACTTTGTATCATAGGGCATTAGAATAATGTATTAATACTTTTGAATTCTTACTGTTACTGTATCTGTACAATAAGATTAAACCTTGCCTGGGCACTTTCTTAAGCCTCACTTTTACATCATTTTACTTCAATGAAACTACTTTTCCAGCCATCTGTGCTAGTGGTTCCCTAAGTGGTCTAAATCTCCTCTGCAACAAGTGTAACTGAGGCATTCACAATAGCACTAAAATTTCCTTATTCACTGCTAAAAGCTCCCTTTAATAGTGACAAAACTCTATAAAAATACACATTTCAATGCCAGCCACTGTGATCACAGCTATTTCGTACCTCTGCAGAACGTAGTTCAGCAAACAGAAGATTCTACGAACTGAAAGGACAAAAGTTCAGCTGCAGGCCAGGAAAACTTTGCTCTCCTGTTTCTACTTCTGGACTTGTAGCAGAATGTCTCATTTAACCTAAAGTATTTAAATCTAATTCAGCACATCTGATTTATGGTGTTATAGAGAAACTGCCTGAATCAATTAAACTTAAACAAAGAAAGGACTACATAAACATCCATAATTCTCATTTTCCTCTCTTCATAACTGTATTTTAGATACTTTTTAGATGTGACATTTTAGATGTCACAACAGCACCAGCACACAGGAGTTTTCCCACACCAAAATTCTTTGCAGTTACATAGGAGATTATTTGTTGGAAATTACCCTAATCTCAGATCGCCAATCAATCACAGAATGTTTACAGTAAACTTAAGCATATGTAGACTAGTAGTTACTTCTCTTTGCAAATTCCCATTCCACCACTACAAACAGTGTATTTCCCCTTTTTACCTATCAACTTATGACAAATCCTGATGGGATTCATCCAATAGTCTTTAAAGAGCTGCTGATGTAATCGCAAAGTCTCTCTTGATGGTTTTTGAGGAATCTTGGCAATCTTGAGAAGTCCCAGCTGACTGGAAGCTGGCGAATGTTGTCCCAGTTTTCAAGAAGGGCAAGAAGGAGGACCCTGGAAAGTAAAGGCCTGTCAGTGTCACTTCAGTGTCTGGTAAAATCATGGAAAACATTTTTCTGAAAAGTATTGAAAAACACTTGGAGGACAACAATCATCAGTCACAATCAGCATGGCTTCATGAGGGGAAAGTCAGCTTGTCACACCTGATTTCCTTCTACAACAGGGTAACCCACCTAGCTGATCTAGGAAAGCGAGTACATGAATCTTTTTGGACTTCAGTAAAATATTTATAGAATGGTTATATTTACTCCTGTAGCCTTCATGTTGCATCAGGCTGTCCTTCCCAGCGTTCCTTTTTGTTTTCAGCATTGCCTCCTCCCAGCACCAGGACTCTTAATGTAATTTTATTCAGTGTTATCCAATTACTGAATAAACTGTATTTCTCAGTTTGTTAGTGGGGCTTTTTGTTTGACCATGAAATGAATACACTTAATTCCCACAGTCTTTAAAAGTTGAGGTGCTCAGGCGGAGCTTTCTCTTGCCTTTGGCATGCCTTTTGGCTCTACTGTCAACAGTGGCAACTCAAGGAGCTGCATTTCCCAGTCAAAAACTGTTTCAGAGTGAATTTTGCAACACCTGTCTGCAGCCACAATGCTGTGCCCAGAGAAGCAGAGCAGCCCAGCTCCATGTGTGTGGCAGGACATCCCTCTCTACAACAGAAGGATGGTGCATATGGAAAAGATAACCCAGGCAAAGTCAAAGACCTGGCAGGGGCTCATCACTGGTGCCAGAAGGGCTGAGACCTCCAACTAAGAATCAACAGCTTGGTCTGGAGAGAAGGTGTGGGAAGACATTAAGAAAAGTAAATGTCATTGACGAAAAGACACTGCTCTTTACAACTATAAAAGTGACACAAATTATTACAAGAGATAGAAACCTCTCACACACTCCCTGGAAATGTGTAGGGCAGCTTCTCCTATGAAGCTTGGACACATCTTTGTAGATACTTTTCCAGAAATTGACAGGAAAGATTTGATGTAAGGTTCAATGTATCTAACCATCAAATCCATGAATCCGAATCTATATTATTTCATTGCTAGCTGTAATAGAGATACCTCAATCACGCTGTATTTCTATCTGCTAGAAGTGTCACTTTGTTTATCCTGCATGGTAAGAAGTCAGAGTTAAGTCATGTCTGCTTTCCTTGGTCTATTCAATAAATAATTCATTTTGTAATAGACCTAATTGGCCATTTTTAAAGAGTGAGTTTTGGGGTGCTGGCCACCACAGTTACATTACTGTCTACTGTCAAGGGCCTGGGCAGAGGCAGGGCCTGGTTCAAACTCCCCTCTCCATTTATAACAGCGTGGTGACCCCAGCCCACGAGCAGTGCTGGCTGAGGCCAGAAGGCTCCGAGTCACACCAGCCCAGAGGCTTTGCCTTGCTGTCTTCTGCCAAGGAGAAGGCGAAGTCCCTCCACAAGTTCTAGCCTTTGACCATGTCCCAGCCACCAGAGTTGCCACCACCAGAGTGATAAAGGGAGAGGAGGGGGCCTGCCACCATTTTCCCTTTGTCTCCCCCATGGCAGGTGTCGCTTCACCATTTTGAGCTTCTCTTTGTTCCCCAGGAGTCTGGGAGATTTCAGCAACTTCCTAAAAAACTGGTGCTCTTACTAATATGTTTTGCCTATTGCTGTTTTGGGATTTTTTTAGTGAACTGTTATTTTTCCAATTATATCTCCTGTACTTGTTTCTCCTTATTGGTGGAGAGGGATTGATTAAAACTAAGGAGAAGTAACTCATTTTAAAGTGTTCCCCTAAATTGTCTTAAACCAAGGTTGGTCAAACAGGACCTGCCTTTCATAAGTTCATGCTGGCTGGGCCTGATTCCCTGGTTGTCCTATAGGTGCCCTGTGACATCATTTAAGATGATCTGCTCCATGACCTTCCTCAGTACAAAAGGCTCTAACTGCTATTATATTGCACTATTTATTAAATTGGTATTTTCAAAACTAGCTTAATAATTGTCAAGAGATTGGTTTTGGTCACCCACACTCATGACCGTGGGCAAATCTCTTTCACACAGGCCCAAGGAGTTCCCACAAGAAGAGTCCCCACTTCAAGGAAGAGTCTCCACGCACTCTCTTAGAAGGGGTGTGCTAGAAATCCCTACCATAAAAAAGAGAGTTTGGGCTTTTATAGGATAATGTGATGGATTGTCAGTCCTACATCGCTAGGCTAGCTCAGCAGAACATAATTCATTTAAAATACATGGTTAGTACTACCACTCATTGGTTCCTTTTATCAGGAAACATCTGTCTCCCACATCCATGCCAGTGCCAGTTCCCATCAGGAAACACCAGTTTCTTCACATCCTCATATTGTTTAATTTTGAGGTGTTTCAGGCTGATATCGGCATTCTTCAACATCAAAAACAACATGTCCACCCTCCCTCCATCACTGGTGATTTCTACAAGCAGGGTGAACAGTTCAAGCTGTTTCACCCCCACTTATACATGAAGAACATCCTCACAAATTTCCAATTTTAGTATTTATGTCAAAAGTTTTTGAAATTCCATTTCAATAAGGATGTTTGATGCAGGACTACAGCTGCAGATTTCTGCTTATCACATTTCATGGTAACAACAGGGAAATGTTGAAGTACCAAGACCTGAACAACAGACCTTGGACCAAATTTGACCTCTAGATGAACCTTCCAACCAAATGTTATATGTATCTGCTCATTGGCAAAACATGGTTTCAGTATTGAGAACCCAAGCAAGGCCAAATCTAGCCTTGGTTGGGAGTACAGGATCAAAGACAACTCCCATGGTTCGTCCTTGAGCTCTGGCCAGGCTTTGGAAGAAGCCTAGTAGGAGAAAGTAACCAGATGTTCCCACACTAAAATTTATGGTAGCTTGTTTATTGAACAGAATAAAAATGGGACTCTCTCACAGCTAAGTCAGAAGCCTTGTTTCCTGTGGGTGGAAACGCCTGCAGGATTTCCCAGTTCCCAGGAGTGGTTTCCACTACTTTGCTGTGACAGTGGCTTCCCCCAGCTGATGCTTATCCTATCTTATATTTTTGTAATTCTTTGCAGTTTCATATTATATTGAATTACCCTTATTCCTTAAGTTGGTATCTGTGTCTTCTCTGATGCTGCCCACAGCAAAACAAATTTAGAAAAACAACAAAACAAGCATCAATCTCTGAATGTGCCTTAAATCTTAGTGGGAATCCAGCAATTCTGCAGTTGAGAAATTACAATTATGTCATTCCATTTTAGGACTTATTCAGGGGATAGTTCAAAAATCAAGGAAAAGGCATGCCATGGCATCTGGCAATGGTCCCAATCCACTGTCCTAAAGCTACTAATTGCACCAAGCAACACTCATAAGCGTCATGGGAACTGCGGTCATAGTCAACAGGTCAAGAATAAAGAAGTCATTCTTCTCACCATGAATGAGCTAATGCAGATAAACACCATTCCACATATCAACAACCAGAAGCGCTAAATGCAGAAAAAAAATGGCAATTTGTCATAAGCAACATCAAAACTGAGCTCCAAGAGGTTATTCTAAAATGTGAAAGTGACTCCTCTACAAGCACTATGGACACACCAGGCATTCGGAGGAGCCATGCTTCACAAGGAATTTTAATATTCTAGTTCTCCATGGTACAAAGCAACACACCACCACCAGCAAAAGCAATGCCATTGTCCAGAACAAAATTAAATCTTCAAGATTGTATTTGATTGATTCATTGTATCAACCAAACATTTATTGCTTACACTCCTCATAGGAAAAAAATGTTCACTTTCAAATAATAGCTTTAAACCTGAGAAAGCAATTTTCAACATAGAAGATTTGCAGGGAAAATACTTTAACAGGGACTGGATTCATCAGACAAACTGACATCACCAAATATTTCATTTGAAATCCTACAAATGAAAGCTTTTCTAATGGTAGCATCAGACTCCTTTATACAGGAATATCCTTGCCTCTGCAGAAAAGTTCATGTATATAACTGAAACACATAGCTGCAAGTATTATCTTGAAACAGGGGATTTAAGGGTTAATAGGGAATTTAGAATGATTTAGGCAATGGATATATGAACACATGGTGTATGTTATTCTACCCATAGGGGGACCCTCTGAAGAAAATCTGTTACCCATTAAAATTATGCTGAGCCTGCAAAAAGAAGGGGAGCCCCCGATGAAGATTGCTGAGCTTGCTAAAAATGCAAAGCAAAAAGGCAACTGCGCATGCGAAGACATCCAAGTTTGAAAGTTCAATAGTGAGGAAGACTATGGAAACTTTGTCCCAGACCCCAGCCTCACTTTTGAGACCACTGACTTGATAAAAGAACGAACTACGCAGTCGCAGCTAATTTCCATTCCATGTGGAAAATGGGCGGGGATAGGTACTGATTATATATAGGTGCTATAGAATATGCATGGATTCTGTGAATAAATAGGGGATTGAGGAAGCTGGAGTACACAGGATTTGGGAAGGCTCTGTTCCCCATGTCCAGCGCTGAATAAAATACCTACCTACTTGGTTGGGGAGTTATTACCGCATATCAATCTATAGCTCATGCTTTTCTAGTTTTGAATATTACAATGATGGAAGAAGGTCAGCTAAGGATGAGGCAGAGTCCTAAGCTGCCTTTTCTTAGATGGAACAACATTTTTTTAGAAAATACCTGCACCCCTACATTTCGACTGCAAATTTCTATTTACCATCACACTGGTCTGCCAGTGGACATGGTCAGCACAAAAGACACAAACTTTAAGAAACTTTAATAAATAAGTGTAATTTAATATAGTTTAAAACAGCAAAGAATTACAAAAGGATAAACTAAGCAATGCACGTAATCACTACTAAGCAATGCACGTAATCACTACTACAGAAGATTGCCTATAGTAATTAAGAAAGGTACATCACCTAATATTTTATTGTCATCCAGATCTGCATTTCAGTTGGGGAGCTCCAGCTACAGCAAGAGACTGGAGGGCCACTCCTGGTAACTGGGAAATTCTTCAGGTACATCCACCTGCAGTTGAGGTCTCCGTCTTCGCTGTGAGAGGGTCCAGCTTTTATGCTGGTGAATAAACAAGCTTCCATACCTTCTCTTGCAGGAATATCTCGTTTCATTCTCCTCCTGGGTTCCACCCGAAGCCTGGAGGCTCAAGGAGGAATCAAGGGATTTGTGTTTGACCATGTACCTCCAAACAAGGCCAGGTATCTGATTTCAGATACTGGCCTCCAAGCACAGGAAGAAATACATTGTTATCACACTACACATTTCACTAATGATCATGTATCTTTCAGTAATAAGTGGATACATATATTATACAGTGCTTGGTTGGAAGGTTCATTGACAGTCAAGTTCAGCTCAGGGCCTACTGTTCAGGCCTCAGCACTTCACAGAAACAAAAGAAATGGCGAGAAACCATGAACATGCTTCAGCCTCCGAGGAATTTTCAAATTCCTTTCAGGTTTCAATGCACATTTAAAGAACTGTCTTACACCCCCAGTAGTTGTAGATATCCCCTTTCAGAAGTATTGTTCCCTAATAATCCAATGCCTAATGACCACTCATTGGAGGCAAGTTTGCATCTATGTACAGGATACTGATTGAAGTGCAAATTTAGAAGTTAATTGAATTTCAGTCATTAAAATCTTTCACAAGGACATAGTAGAAGAGCTCTTTGACATATTTGCATTTTATGGAGACCATTTATATCCAGCATGAAGGCATAGTGCTACCTTCAAGATTATGGGAGTGTTTTTTAAGTCTTTTTTAAAATCTTCTGATTGGTGAAGTTTCCTGCCTGCTATAAGTTATAATATAAATCCTTCCATTAAATTAGCTCACTTGAAATTCCTCCAAGTATAAATTCCTACATTTCCACTACCCTATACAGTTTTGAAACTCCTGAGAACTTGAATTGCTTGTGTTTATCACAAAGACAAATGATAGTCAGAAGCATCATAGTAGTGTCTAGCAATCAAATATGTGAAAAAATAAAAATCCATTCCCTGTCAGCAATGGGAAAGCACTACAGTTCTTTGAAAAACTGCATGTAACAGTATTGAATATGGCTTAGAAATGCTTAGAGTAACAAAGACAGGTTGGTAATTTTGTATTTTCCTTAACCCTATTTTCTTCCCCATTTCTACCTCTTTGTTGCACTGATGCTGCCACTTGTGATGCTTCAAGATGAACAAAACTAGACAAGAAAATGGCATCCACAATTTCACATTAAAAAAAAAATCACTTCAGCAATCTTGTGTGTCTCTTCAGACAGATATGGAGTGCTCACTGGAGGAACAGGAGTTCCTCGCTGGTCTTGGCTCCTAGAAGGGACAACAGTCCATGAGCTTTAACCTTTAAAGGAGCAATGACCCATACCAACAATACCACCAGAGCCTCCTATGTCCTGATTACCAGTAATATATCAAAAGATCCCCTGGCAGATTTTGAATTCCAGTTTCCTGTACAGCACCAGTCTCCTTTCACCAGTGCACTTTAACAGCTTAAAAAGCCAAAGATTAGCATTACCTAATGCTAAAAACCATAATAGGTATTTTCACAATTTTTTTTTGCTTTTCTTTTTTCTTTCAAGTCACCAGTAGGCTCTAAGGTTTTTCACAAGTTTTCATGGCCATGCTTAGCAAAGCAGGAGCTCCTCTAGGAATCAAGAGAATTGAACTGCGCCTTCTTGGCTTTCTGCTCCCTCTTTTACTCATTTTGCTGTGTCTTCATCCATGCCTTTTAAATTATGGGGTGGGGAGTACTGCTCTACATCTGACAACTGTTAATCTTCAACACAAAGAAGAAAGGCTCAACATCAAACTAACAGGTTAATTATTACAAGACCATGCTATGACCATGCAATTACAAGACACAAATGCTGTGACAGTCTCACATCCCCAAACCATGTTGTTCATGGCTGCAGCAAATGAAACCAAACAAAAAAGAAAGGCAAATAAAACAGTTGCAAAGGCTGATTTGTGTAAATTTTAGAAATATATAAAAATATTCTCCTACCAACATACCTTAGCCTGCAGAAAACAAGCCAAGTCAGCAATTTGTTGGCTTCTAAAGAGTCTGTGTTTGAGGGACAGCCTTGTGCAAATCAGAGTATTTTACTAATTTACAACTATTTTTCTGAGGATTAGCGGGAAGGGGAAAGAGCAAAAAAGCATCTGTGTTTTAAACAGAAATCAGAATCATAACAATAAAAATAAAACTTCTAAAAAATCTAGTAGATCAATGAACTGGAGAAAGTCTTAGCTTTTATTTAGAAGGAAACCAACACACCCCATAACAGACTTGACATAAAGCATGCTGTAATGGTTTTTGTCTTCTGCCAAAACATCAGACAGTATATTATTTCCTGGGAAAAAATACTGTTTAAGCTTAAACTACAAAGACAGCTGGATCCTTGAACTCTGCCTCCCAACTCACTGCAGTGAGCCACACAAACACACTGAACTAATGGGTCCTGGTAAACATCTTGGGAACAACCGCAGTAAATTTTCCAAGACTTTGCACCTTGAGACCCAGGGGAACTTTTATGCTGGCACAGGCATCAGTAAAGGATTTAATTTTGTGGACAGTAATATAAAAGCAATCATTATCACAAGTCTGTTTTCTCTGACAGGAATATCTGTTTGAATGTTTTGGGACATCACTTGGCTAGTTCAAGGGAACAGGGTGATAAGAGCCCAGTTAGGAGTTTTTGATGTTTGTAACAAGTTTTACTCCCATCATTCTCCGATGAATATTTTCTCAGGAGAAAATATTTACCAGGAGTCACAAGCTAGGTTTGTTTTATTCTATTTTTAAGTCCTCCCAGGAGGCTAGTTAAGAGCACGGAAATGCCCAAAGTTACCACAGAGCTCCTAGAAAGAGTTGAGTCAGCCTCCTAAGAACTTCTAGGAAAACAACTGCCAGCATTTCCATGGGCTTCTGAAACCCATCCTGCGCTCCAGCAGAAAATCTACTCATGTTCTACCTGATGCATTCAATTTTCATTGATGCCACGGACAATCAAAGCACATCTTCCAAAGCCCAGGAAGAAAGTTGCGACACATTGATAGGGTACTTGCACTTTTTTCTCACATTTCCATCTGCCTCTGCAGATGGAATAAATAAGTTAATTCTATCAGCTACACTACTCAGACCACCCAAAGCAGAAACAGCGAGCCTATATCTCTTTAAATATGTTTTGGGGTTTTTTTTCTTTAATAGTATAAACAGTTTTATTCGTTCCACCACAATACACGACTGCAGGTGTCCCTCTTACACAAAGCAGAGCACCGGCTCCTTACCGCACATCTTGTGGTGCCTATCTGAGAGGCTGAAGCAAAAAAATCACTAACGCTGGACTTCCATCGCAAAATTTAAACACAAGACACTCAAAACACCTAGTCTTCAACCTGACAAGTGATTACTTTCAGTTTTGTTTTGGGGGGGAGATGGGGAGAGAGATGGATTTCCTCGTTTGTTGTTGCTTTGGGTGTTTTTTGTATCTTGTAACCGCATCTCCCTGCATTGTCATACCCTACGGAGAAACACAGCAAGCAAACCTCTGCGTCCTTAAGGTGCTCGGGGCGGAGGATGTGTTCCGGAGCCTGCGCATCGCATTGTCCTTGTTCAGGCACTCGCAGGACTCTTGCTAATTGATGCTAATTGCTTCTGCGAGACGAGCAGCGGACGAGCTGCCGGGCCCCGCTCGCTCCGGGCCCCGCTCGCCGCCGCGGCCTCCCCGCTCCCGGCCCGGGTGCGGAAAGGCTCCGCCCGCCCGCCCGGGCCCTCCGCAGCGGGGGCAGCTCCGGGCAGCGGCTCCGGGGGCAGCTCCGGGCAGCGGCTCCGGGGGCAGCTCCGGGCAGCGGCTCCGGGCAGCGGCTCCGGGGGCAGCTCCGGGCAGCCGCCAGTGCCGGCCCCGCGGCCGAGAGGAAGGGAGGAGAGGACGGCACGGCCCTCGCCGCCCCCCGCCCCGCTCGCTCGCTCCCTCCCTCCTTTCCTTCCTTCTCGCCGCCGCACGTCCTCACCGAGCGCAGCCAGCCTCTCGTCCGCAGCCCCGGCCGTCGGCCCCGCTGGGAGGCGGAAGGAGAGCCTGGCTCCGGGGCGGCGCGTCCCTCCTGCCCGCCCGGCGCGGGTCGGGGCCGCCGGCCGAGGCGAGCGCGGTGCCCCCGCTCGCTCACCCGGGGACAGCGGCGATAGATTGAGCCTCCTGGTCCTCAGATCCCTCCAGGCTAAGCCCCTCCTCCCTGCCCCTTTTCCCTGCCTCCCTTCCTGCCTTCTCAGCTCTCCAGAGAACTCCCACAGCTCCCTGCTTCGAGCGCGTCACATTTTTTTAAGAAAAATAGAGCGGTCCTTTGGCATTCCCCCATTGAGACTTCAGTTAGAAGAAATGTTATAAATATTCTGATAAAATAATCGATTTAATAACACAAAAGAAGTGATTATGATTACAAGTAGAAAATTGTGAAGTGTAAGGTATAGGAATGTCAGGAGTGCTGTGTTTAAAATATGCAGCAGAAACCTCGCCAAGAAGCTAATGGATGTCTTATGTTTTGTTCAAGAAGCTCTGGAGACCATCATGCAGAGCAGTTATGCTGCTTGGAAGCCTCCTACCCTTCCTACCTTGATTGGATTATCAGGGATTCCAATCAGTAGAGATGCCCCAATTGTCTTAGGGTAGGAATATGGATGAAGTTATTTAACTAGTGATATGTATGTTGCTTAAAATTTGCGCCAATGTAATATTGTTGTATTTCATTTAGGGGAAGATGATTTGATATGGGTAATATTTTTATCGTAAAGAACACACGCTAGCACTGAGCTGACACCCCCCCCCTCGCCCCCCCCCCCCCCCCCAATATCGTTACACCAAAAAAAAACCCGGTTTCTTGGACAAAGCCTCATTTACAATTTAATACATGTGGCTCGCCCAGAGATTCTCCCTCGTTCTGCGAGGTGATACTGGAACCTTAAGCGTTGATCATTCAGGTAACGACCCGAGATTGGGATCGCTGGAGTCCTCCGGGCTGATGCATCTGAAAGCCGCGGTTCCCGTAAAGTTCTTGTAATTCCATCAGGGAAGAATCGTCTACACCTGGACTCGGATTGCTCAGCCTCGACCTGGAGAAAAGGAACTTTATGAATATGTGGGACTTTGAATGTGGGAAAGAAAAGGCGGATTGCGAAATCCTAGCCTCGGGGGGAAAATTTCCTATAGGAACTGCTGGGTGCAAGAGGGTGGTGTGTGTGTCCAGGGGAACCTCTGCTGAGAGGCGTCTTTCCTGTCACACACCCAGTGCCGATCCCGGGCTTGGCACTGTACTTTCCTTGTGGCTGGCTAAGATAGAATTTGATCGCAAAAATTTAAAACTTTATTTTTACTTTTAATTTGTCTGAATCAATTTTCATTTATAACACTAGCAAAATGAGTTATGGTTAAGGTTAAATTTAAGAGCAGGCATATTATGCATAAAACATAAAAGAACTTACGTAACGATGACCCGGCAGAAAAGTATATCAAAGGGATGGATTTTGTTTACTAAGTAGAATATGCTTGGAGGAGTAATTCCCTGTGCTCCTTGCACCAAAATAAAGTGTCTGCTTATTCACATTGTGTGGAAAAACCACACCGTGAAAAGCCAGTGTCTGTAAAGGAGAGAGAGGACTCCAGAAAATGTTTTCCAATAAAGGGAGAGAGTGTACTGGACAATACCCCAGTGAAGTGTCTCTTGAGGTTTTGGAGGGTGCAGTCTCCTTTTATCCTAAACTCCTGACTGCATGTTGCTGTGTTCCTTTCCCCATTGGCTGAGGTATCAGGAAAGCATGGACTTCCTGAACCACCTACTACAAATTCCCTCCTCAACAAGCATGGTCATTTTCCCCTAAAGTTCAGAAGTTCAGGCTTTCTGTAGTTCTGTAGTAGACTTTGTGCAGACCCCTTTCTCCTATTACTTGAAAGCTCAGAAAATCAAACTATCTGGGTCCAACTCCCTGGGTTCTGTAACTTGCTTGGCTTGATGTTCATAGAGACATGAAGACCCATTTCCCCTAAAGGCCCCCATAACATTCTTCCAGAACCTGATTGGTTCTTTCAGTTACTCCTGGAGACAATAACACCCTATTTCTCCTATCATTCATGAAGACTCCCGACCATCAAGTTGTTTGTGAAGATATTAGCATATATTTTTCCTATCAACATAAAATTGATGATGGATAAGTTTCTTCCATGCCATTTGCTCATACAACTGGAAACTAATAAAAATTCACTGGAGTTATTCCAGTGCATCCTGCACCATCATGAAGTAATGCCTGCTGCTTTAAACTCAATTGGTGTTAGGGAGTTTTATTCCTGCATTTTGGTGACGACTGAATAATGCTGAAGTCAAACATTCCGAGGATGTGAAGAACAATGGCACGGGTGAGGATGTGGCAGACAAATTTCCTTGTAAAGCAACCAAGAAATGGTACTACACAGATAAGGTATCCAAAGTTGCTGGGCTGACACAGCTGGCCTCGTAACATATGACTGGCAGTCAATAAATTTATAATGCAAAAGCCTAGTCCTTTTTTTTTTTTTTTAATGAAATTTTCTATCAGTTTTGAAGTATTAGAAAGCAGGCATTTTTTATTGCATTGCTAGTCACCTGGAGGGTATTTCCTGTAATTAGGTGTGTCATGACACTTCACAACAAAGCATTTATTCCACCATGCTCATACATGGATTACAGTGTACTTCCTGGCTAAGACATAAACATCACTTTTCCTAGAACTCATTTCCATACATCTGCCTCTTACTGGAAGTCCTCTTATGATTGTAGAGGTTTATCTGAAGGGGTTGCTGGTGGTCCTACTCACCAAGTGCCCACAGTGTTACAGATTACCTTGTCTTGACCTTCTCTTAGGGCATGCACTGTTGTTTTTTGTGCTGTTACGTGGCTGTGCTACGAAAGCCACTATATTCCTCATTATCTGTTTATCCACTGGTTCCAGCTACATTTAGCATCTTATGTGTCTACTTTTACATTCTGTTATCTGCTTCTTTGAAATACACTGTTCTTTTCTTTGGACTAGTAAAGCATCATTATGTCCCATTCCTGGCTAGGTCTCTGTAGAAGCCTGGGCACCAAGGAGTTAATTAATGTTCTGCCGTGTCTCAAACAGCAGTGGCCACTATAGTGCAAGTCGGCAAAGTAGAACAGCATGTGGCAGGAGAAGAAGTCTCCATGTAGGATGAGCAGCACCTTTCTGTTCTGGTCCATGGAGACTACACACACAAAAGATGTTGCAAGCACTGAGATGAGTTCAAGAAGCGGGCATGAACTGTTGACCAAAGCATTGAGACCACCAAAGATCCTCAAAATCCCACAACCCACTTCTAGAGAAGTCCTACTGAGAGATCTAGATTGTCTGGAGAGCTTTGGCAATCATCCCTCTCTATGAATATATCAAGAGCAAGTGCTGGATTCATCACCTGGGATAGGGTAATCCTGGTTATATGTACAAACTGGGGACTGAAGGAGTTAAAAAACACAGTTGCCTCTCTGAAACATTGTTAAGGCTAAGGAAGGATTTGCAATAAGATAAACACAAAAAGAAGGAATTTGCAACAGGAAGGCTCCCATTCCAGGCCTGGTAGAGGCTTTATCTTGATAGCACATCCTGGTCAATGCATGCAGACAAAAATTTCTGCTGTGGCAAGCTGTGTGAAAGAAAGTGACTACTCATACACATACCACTGGTCAAACAAAGATCACCCCATATTATGGACAGATAGTACCTGCGACCAACAAAAGCCCCTTAAAACCTTGGAGGAAGCATTCTCAGAAAGAGGACCTTGCCTTCCCTCACTTTTGCATGTCATGAAGGCACACCTGACCTCAATTCACATGTAAATTAGGAACATGCCTCACTGATACTCAGAACTTGGACTGTAAAACACCAAAAGAACAAGTATCACCCCACCACTGAGAAGCCCAGGGTGAGGAAGGACCAATGGGACACCCCTGGCTCCATGGATGGTGTATCTGCTTGTTATCTCTCTCTTTCCTCCTCTCTCTTCTCTGTTTTCTAGTTCTTTTTCTATCTCTCTACTTCATGTTGTTAAATAAAGTCCATGTAGTTGACTCCAGAGTCATCTCTCACTACTAACAGGGATGTGAGGCTGAAAAACAGGCCCATGAAAAGAGATGTGGCGATTTGTATTGATGACAAATTAGGCATGAGTCAACAGTGTTCCCAGGTAGCAAAAAGGGCCAACCATGTCCTGGGGTGGATATCAAGCACAGCACTTTGAGCTGTTTAAGGGGGGTGATTGTCCTGCTCTACTCTGTATTAGTGCAACCTCGCCTCTGTAGGGAGAGTTGTGTGTGAATTTTGGGCACCTCAATATAAGAATAACATCAAATTACTAGAGAGTGACCAAGATGGTGAATGTCCTCAGCTGTAATCTTATGAAGAGTGGCAGAGGCCACTTGATTTCTTCAGTTTGGAGAAGAGAAGACTGAGCAGTGTCCCTATGGCAGCCTACAACTTCCTTGAGGCAGATGTAATGAATTAGTATTTTGGCTGCTTAAAGAATCATCACCAAAGTTATCAGTAAAAGAGGTTTTAATATATATTTGTGAAAGGGTGGGTTAACAAAGTTCAGTGGCAAAGTTTGCTACCACATAGAATAAAGCATATAAAGAAAAACTGGATCAGAACATATTTAAAATAATTATCACAGACTTTGGGTTACAAAAGGATGAGAGTGCTAAAGAGTAAGGGAGACATTCCCACTGGGTCACAATACTCAGGATAGATCCCCTTGCCAAACTTAGCCTCAGGCTTGCTCAAGGATTTGATGTCTAAAGGATTTAGGAGCACTTAATCATTATTTAAAATCTTACAAAATTATTCCATAGAGTTTGCCATTAGCAAAGCAACTGAACCATAAATCTAAGTTGGCACTATTCATACAGTATTTGCTCTGGGGTATCTAAAGCCAATCAGGTGCTCAGACACGCAGACAGAAGTCAACATGTACAAAGAGGTCAGAGCAATACTCATGTGGAATGCCTTTGTATCTCTCAGCAGCCTGAGCCTTGAAGAGTGGTGTATCAACACAGGCCCCCTTGTCAGCTTTCAGAGACAGTCCTCCAAGTATCAGTGTGAGAGCTGGCAGCTCTCACACTCTCTTAAGACTGCTGCTTACAGGGTTGCAAAATGCTTGGCTTCAGTCATCTGTCAATCTCCAGGATGAGTCAGGCAAGTAAAGTTCCAGGGCTGTCAGGGCATAGCTGATTATCTCTTGTCCTTGGTTAGGCAACAGAAGCTTCTGTTAAAGACAGCGCCTTCCCACCATAGTCATGCATGAGTTTCTGGTTAAGACTGAGGGAAGCTTCATTGCCTAAATCGTGCCTCAAGGCTTAGTCCTAAAGAGAATTGCTGAGACTGTAGAGCAGCCTGAGGAGAGGAGGAATGAACCACCAAAGGGGCAGTGGAGGAGAAGGTGCTGATCTCCTCTCTCTGGTGACCAGTAATGGGAAACAGAACAAAGCTGTGTGAGGGGAAGTCCAGACTGGACATTAGGAAAAGGTTCTTCACTTTTGGCAATTTGGCCCAATGCAGTGTAATGCATATAATTGCATATAGGAAAGGGAGGCCAGTCAATGAACAAGCTTCCCAAGGAATTGCTTGTGGCTACAAGTCTGTCTGAATTCAAGGAGCATCTGACAAAGAGCAACACTCTTTGTCATATGGTCTGGTTTTAGAAAATCCTGTGAGGAGCAAAGAGTTGAACTAGATGATCCTTAGGAGTCCCTTCCAATTTGAGATATATTATGACGCTGTCATCTGAAAATCAGTTGCTACGAAGTTGACTGTCCTTTTCAGCATGCCAAATGGGTTTCAAGAGCCCGTGCAAATGAGGAATTAAAATTTATTTCTGAATGAAAACAGTCTCAATATCATGCTACCCCTTGCACACATACCCACACCCTCACAGGCACTTCACAACTTCACAGCAGAGATATCAGGAGTCTGTTGCAGCAGATGCACGTGGGATGTTCATTGTGTATTGGTTTACTTGTTGCCCAAGGCTTTACGGTTTCCTTGCCAGCCAGTGCCTAATCTTTTGGGGTTCCTTGACCTTTGCATTCTCCAGATTCCAAGGTGTCAGAACAAACCTACCAGTCTAGTTCTGTTGGTGTGGCACCCCTGCCCTTTCCTCCACTGTCAGGCATGGCCTTTCCTTGGTAAAGAATGTGCAAACAGGAACTGGAATACAGTCAGGTGTGACCAGCATTCTATGAGTCAAGTTATCTGCCCCCCATGCTGAATTTACCTTTTGTAAATAGAACTATGTTGTCAGATAACTTCACAATGGAAGTTGCTTAATGAACTTTGGTTTTTTTAACTGGTAAGATTCACCCAAATCACTCAAGCATTGTGTAAGATCCTGTCCCCTAAAGATTATGCATTAGATAGGCAAAGATTATGCATGGGTTCATGTGAATTTTACTTTGGAAAAGAGATAATTTTTTGTCCCTCTGTGTGCTTGATTTATGGAAACCTACACCTTGTACTCTACAGGAATCAGGTATACTGAGCCCTGGTGTGTGCCATGGCTGAACTGTGGACAGGAGAGTACTCTGCAAAGGTAAAGGAGTCCATGACACATAACTGCTGTGAATTAATTATTGGAAGGTGGTGTCAGGATGCTTTACTTGAAGGTTGATTGTCTTGGTTTGAAAAGACAGGAGTTTGTGAAGGAAGGTAAGAGGTTTTTGTGAAATGGAAAAGGTAAACCCCCTCTCTCTGAATTATTACAATTTCAAAATTAAAAGGTTTTTAGGCAAAGATATGGGAATGGGGATAACAGTTCTTTATTAAGGGAAAAAAAAACCCTAAATTAAAAAAAATGTAATTAGTACAAACAAAATTACTGATAGAGTCAGAAACCTGAACCCTGAGGAGTCAGGGTGTTGGTAATAGTCCAGTTAAATGGTGGCTGCTTTTCCTGGACTGGCAAAAAAAATGCTGCTGAAGCAGTGATTTGTGGAATGGTGTAGTTTTTTCTGAAGGTCTGGTGATAGCGTAGATGGGCTTAGTTTTCCTCTGGGGATCCAGCGGGGAAGAAGCTGCTTTTCTGGGAATTTAGCAGAGAAGAAGCTGCTCTTTTGGGAATCTAGGAAAGGGGCTGCTCAGATGTCTCAAAAAATGCTGATTTTATGTAGGTAGGGATGCTTGGCTCCTCCCTCT